TGACAAAAGATAAAGAAATCACTGCTTGAATTACAGCCAATTAGCCAAATGCTAACAACTCTAGCAAGTTGTTAGATAACAGTTATAAATAAACGTAATAATAAAAAGAAGTTAGGAATAAAGCAAATGTCAAGTTGCTAAAACTGATCCTGCTAATCCACTCTGCTGTTCAGTTTCCACAGGGAGGCTTGCCCCTTATTATTCTGAAATATTTTCCTATTACTTCTACCTCTATGAATCAACACATTACTGTAAGTCAGGTCGCTGACGCACATGTCACTCCCTTTTTAAAGTATTCAGTGACTTATTTTTGTTTCTTAAATGAAACTAAGTCATAAAACAAGGTTCATGCTTACCTTGTACTCTATATTCCCCTCCTCAGCCTGAGAGTTAGAATAGGTAAACAAAGAGAGACAGAAAAGGAACATCAGCTGTTAGACCAAATAGAAGTGCAACAATGCTTAAAAGACAAAAACCAAAGACATCTGACTGAATGAGCAGCAAAAACAAGCTGTAAACAGTCTGATGGTGACTACTAATCCAACTTAGCCTTATTATACATCTCTCCTCTATGTTATTAGAAGCAATGTATGAAACCCATAGTAATTACAGTGTAGGGAAACTTTTTTTAGTTTACCTTTAAACAGTATAATTAAAGCAAAGCAGCTGGATTCTTTATAACCAGGAATCTCGAGCTAAAGGCAAGGCAAGGCAAATGTATTTGTATAGCACAATTCAGTACAAAGAAAATACAAACTGCTTTACATGATTAAAATATAGGAGAATAAAACAAGCAAAGTAGGGAAAAAAATAAAAAATGCAGAAACAAAAAAGAACATTAAAAACAATTGGACTAAATAAAAAAAAAAGTTAAAAATATTCACAATTCATTTGCAACCAAATAGCAGTATCTTTTTGGCTCCTCTATAAGAAATCTAAGTGGCAGCCGTTTCTATTTAGATGTTTCGATTGACGTTTGTTGGTCCTGTATTTGTTTGTTCGTTTTTCATTAATATTACTGGGAACTATGAAAAAAGAGTAATTATAGGGTACTTTGAGGTGGTTGGATACCCTTATTTATTTAAGATTATATTTAGGCTCTAGTGGCCTTTATTTTTTTATTTTCGGAAGTATATAGACAGGAAAGTGGGTTACAAGAGAGGGGAGATATATTCGGCAAAGGTCAGCAGGACTGGGACTCGAACCCTCCCCCCTTATTTACTAACAGTTGTTCCTCTTTTAGGCTAGCTATAATATATGGAGTCGAAGTCAAATGTCTCGCGCTCAAATTAAATGTTCACTGTACAGTAAAAAGGTAAACAAAATAAAACTATGAGTTCAGAATTGCCCACCTTAACCCTACAGCCCGCCATATATGTTATTTTGTTGAATACCGACGTGGCATTGTTTCAGAAAGAGCAGCTAGCCGCAGCGACAGGAAACAACCAAAAGCTACATTTGCGTTTTTACACGGAGCACAGCAGAGGACGTCAGTTTCCTGTTTAAACTCGATTTTCTACTGTTTCCCATATAAAATTCTTCGGAGCAAATGATACGTATTTTTTAAAGTAATACCAGTCTTACCTCCGGAGGTAGATACGGGGTGTTATTGTTTGGTTTGAAGTTGCGAGGGAATCGAGTTCTTGCTTTCTTATTTTTTCCACAAGCCTTTTTAGAGACCACCCCGTTCCCATTTCCCGACTTGTGGTTGGAGACAGATCCCTGAGATCCACCGGAGCTGTGGCCGCTCGTTGACCCAAATAACTCCGACACCAGCGCATCCATCGTTCTCTTTGGGACAGAGCTTGTTAGCTAACCTAAAGCGGACTAAATACAATGCTAAAATATCAAAATAAACATTCAGGTCCGGCATTTGTGCAGCACATATTCAATCACGCCATGCTTCTGAGTTTAGCTTACATGCCCAACTAAATTAAAAAGCCTCGACTTCTCCCAAACTCTTCGAACAATAACACCAGCCCCAACCCTTCTTCTTCTTCTTCTTATGGGGTTTTATGGCGGTTGGCAGGCTTGTGAATTGTGCATTACCGCCACCAACTGATATGGAGTAAAGCAAGAAAACAGAAAACGATTCACCCAAAAAAAAAAAAAAAAAAAAAAAAAAAAAAAAAAAAAAAAAAAAAAAAAAAAAAAAACCTGTGTAACTTAAACCAACATAATACTAAATCACATTTGCCCATATAATTTTAATTTACTCTAGGTCATCTTAACTCTGCCAGTTTCTGATGGTCCCATCGGTCCTCCCATCATACTTCCAACCATCTCCCAGTTCAAATCTTTAATGTCCAGGTATTTTTCTGCAGCCTTCACTATTATTTTGATTTTTTCCGTTTTTTTTGTGTCTGTGCAGTACAATTAATAACTTCTAGCCATGAATTTTGAAGCAAAGCAATGAGCGGTTTATGTTCTTGGTTTCAGCGTCATAATGTGAGTCTAATCCAGCTCAATTGCAATCTTGATTCTCAAGAACGTTTGGGATTGTGCTGCTGGAGTTGTTGAATCTGTTTGTTTTGGTTTTTTTCATGACTGATACGATGGGATCCATTTTGCAGCTATACGGCAAGCTAAAATATGATTATTGGCTCAAATTCATTTTTTTAAGTTTCTAATTTCATACATTTTGCTTGTCTCCTTCACAGCGGAATTTTAGCAGCAGTATGTTCTCCACCACAATTACAGCATTATTTATTATGTTTCTTTTCCAATTCCGACTATGTTCTGCGTGCACAACCTTACCAACAAATCCTCTGATTTCCCTTGTAAAAACTAGCTAGCAAAGTTGACCCCGAATATTTTTGAGCATTTTGAAAATTTTCAATGGTGGAGGATTGATATGTTGCACCATGTTATAGCTTTATGTAAACCCGATGAATACTTTATGCTTGGTAATTGCTCTTCCTCAAATTTATTACACATTTGTAAAACTGTCATGATCTTTCTCCGTTTCTTGTTGTTTTACAAAGGTACGTTGTGTTTACTTTCTTTGTAACTTTTGTCACTCGCTTTATGGGTATTCCCAGGAATCGTCTATTTTCAGTATAAATTTTTAGAGGAACTTGCCTCCATGATGACTCCCAGCTGTAGGTAACGTTTCATGTTCATACATTACGTTCATTTGACTGAAACTCTTATCAGGTCGAAGTTTGTTGATCCGTATATAGCTTTACACAGCCTGCTATTTTGTGGGCGCTGCTCTCAGTAAAATTAAGAGACAGTTTTGGTCTCCACTGAACAGAATTCTGAGCATGACACTTATCTGATTGTCTTCATTCCGACAAGAAGTTTAAATGTGCATGTTTTTTGTTACATGTGAACGGATTCCAATTTTTTAAAAGAGTCGCAGATTATCGTTCTTCGAATATGGTATCTTTGAATTCATTTTGTTGTGCTGTGGAATGTATGGAATGATCATCACTGGATTGTTCTGAACTAGATTCCCCTTGAACTGATCTCTGTTTTTTCCGCTTTTTCTCATTTTTTGATGTTGCTATCTTCCAACCTTCATTGTCACTATTTCCCTCTTCCATCCCACAAGAATCGCTTCCTGTTTCCTCACTACTCACGGCCCAAGACATTTCTCCATAAGCAGCTTCAAAACACGCGCCATGCACCAAACGACCATCCCCAGCCCCAACCCTTAGAGTGGTATCGGTTTAAGTTTCTGGTCCCTACGTCACTGTACTATTAGATGGTGCGCCTGATTTGTTGAAAGGCAAAGCGCGACTGAGCGGTTCTTCATGTTCTGAATGGTTTCAGCGGTACTTAATGTAGATCTAAACTCCACCCAGCTGACCACAACGATGAACAAATCATTGTTGCCAAAACAGTTTTGCAAGGCTTTGCATCAGACTGCATAGGAAAGTATGTTGTTGTTTTTTTTGTTTTGTTTTTTTACATAAACGATTACGAAAATTAGATCATTTTGGCTAATAAACGGCAACCTAAAAATATATTATTGGCCACAAAGTTATTTTTTAAGCTTTCAATAAGTTGTATAATTTATTAATGTCTCCTTCACAGGGGACATATTTATTAACAGTTTAATGACATAACGCCATTATTTATGTATTTGTTTTATGCCCATAGTGTTCTGGTAACAAAAGATTTAAAAAAAATGCGACCAATTTGGAGAGAAGAGAAAAAAGAATAAGAAGAGTTACACCACCAATATATTTTAAGAAGATTTTGGGGAATATTTTCACAGGATTAGGATTATTAGGGCCCAATGTTAAGTTTACAATAAACACCAGCAAACAGTTCTTTATACTTGTAGTTTCTTTTGCTCAAGTTTTTACACATTTTGTGTAACAACCACAATGTTATGTATTTTCTGTTTATTCATTTTATACAAGAGGAGAGTGATACATGTTAGATGTTTTTTTTTAATGCATAAAAGTTTGTTTTTTTTCAATCTCGTTTATTTTGGCAGATAGATCCCAGTGAACGGGATACTATTACTTAGTAATTACACAATATGGTCTAATGTATACCTTGACACTATGATGACCTATTGGCAGTGATAGGGAACGTTTCACAAATAACAATGACGTAAATATTTGACTAAATATCAGGGTGAGTTAGTGAACCGTATAGCTTTACAACAAAAGCCTGTCATATTTTGTGGGGTAAAAAATAAAGAGAACAGTTTTTGGTTATAATGCATAGGAATTGATGAGATTGACACTTTTATTCTGATTGTTTTATTTCCCAGCCTAAAATGAAGATTTAAAGTGTAGGTAACAAATGTTTTTTTTGTCATGACACTGTGAAGGTGTCTGAATTTTTTTAATAGACAGCAATATGTTCTTCAATAGGTTCTCTCTGAGTACTCCCGCTTCCTCCAACTGTACAAATAAAATTCTTTTAGGTTAATTGGCATCTCTAAATTGTCCTTAGGTATAAGTGTGTGTGTGTGCATTGTTGTACGTTTTTGTATGTTTCTGTGTTGCAAAGGTCTGGCGGTCTGACCAGCCAGGCGGCAGGGTACTGGGCAGGGTACCCTGTCAGATCACTGAGTCAGAGACCTCCACCCAACCTGCATCAGCAGGGATTCAACCATCTCACCACTGGCGTAAGCTCCAACACAAGACGGCTGAACTCAGGGAAGACAAGCAGACCCTCTCCAGTCATCAGTCTTCCCCCAATTGGCCACTACAGAGTAGAAGATGATCCAGTCTTTCCAAGGAACTGGGTTCCAAAGCCCAGGCTAAGCGTGGAGGTGAGCCCAGCTATTTCCAGCCGGCATTCTTTTGCCTCTTGCACAAACTCAGACTCTTTCCTCCTAGCTTTATATAATAATTCTAAGGTATACAATTCTAGCAAATCAGATAATTTAAGCAACAAGGAAACAAGAACAAATGACTACTGGATTAGTGTGGTCATAATTGCCAGTCTTATGAATGATGGCTTTTTTTTCTAGTTTCAATAATCTCTCCGTGTTACTCCAGACTTTATTCGATATATCTCATCCATTAATTTGTTATATTTCATGTTTTCATCTTATTTGTTACATTTCACTGTTGCATTCAATTTGTTACATTTTATTGCTTCATCTTGTTTATTTGAATCTAAATTGGATATAATCTTTAACTGATCACGGGACTTTTTGACGTTTACAAACTAATGCTTTAATTTTATTTAGTTTTTTTCTATTTTCCATATTTTCCTATCTGCATTATATTCTGCTTAGTCTATGCACTACCACTCCTATACTAAAGGAAAAATTTGATTTTCAAATTCACCTTCAGATACAGTTACAATAGTTTTTTGGAGGTTTTTTGGGGGGGAGAGCAGATGAACGGTCTGTGGATGTGAATGTAAAAAGAGTGAAATTTGAGAGGAACAGCTAATTCCCTTGAGTGAGATTGATTCTGGTATTTGGGAAATTCAACTCTGATTGGTTACAAATCTTGTGATGTAGGGGCTTGGCTCCATACTTAGCTCATTCCCCCTTAGCTGAGAAAAGGGTTTTGGGATTTTTAACCCAGTTTGCTTCCCTCAAACTCAGACTCAGGCTCAAAACTTTGAGTTTAGAACTTTTCTATAGTTGTTCCCTTTTTCACAGCATGATTTCCTCATTCGTGTGCTTGCTCCTTGTAGGACTACTGCAGGAGACCATAATGGCTGTCCAAATGGACAAACTAGCAGATCGTAAGGTTTGTGGAGATGCCACATGTTCACGTCAGTCAAAACATTACTTACAGAATTTCCATGTGTCTAAAAAACTATAACTGCATTTAAATCAATATCTTATGTTAGGTTTGTTCTTTATTTGCCTCTTTAGATGTACTTTCCATGGCCACAGCTTTGGATGATTTCATTGCTCCAGATTGCAGATTCATCAACATTAAAAAGGGTCAGATAGTTTATGTGTATTCAAAACTCATACCAGCAGATGGCACTGGAGTATTCTGGTCTGGAAATGTAGGTGCTTATTTATTTTAATTTCACATATTATCAGGCTGCACAGTTAATTCATTTAGTTGCCAAGGTATTATGTACACTAACTATACTTATATTCCCTTGTAAAAGTGTTACATTTTCATAAGATTTTTTTTTCCGCTTGTCAGCAATGCATTTGTTATATGCATGCTTTGTTTCCTGGTAGGTGTACAGTGAGCGATATGTGGATCAGATGTGTAGAACAGGATATTTCCCTGCAACCATGGTAAAGGAGACCCAAAAGTTTGCAGATACTACAATTCGAATGCGGACCACTGTGAGTATCTTTCTTTTGGGGATATTCTCGGCTTATAAAAAATATTTTGATGTCTAATCTTATGTTTTCACTTTTTCAGGATATGGACTTCTATTGCGATTAGGGAACAGCAGGCTGAATATCTTAAATTTTTACCTTAACTGTCTTGCCTTTGTAATTGTACTGTGCATAGTGTTTCTGTTAAATCCATGAATCACATGATGCTATATTATATTGTTATGTACTGCATTTAGCTAGAATACCTTAGCCCCGTTGGTGTTTATGAGTACAGTGCAAAGTTGAAGACCTGTTCTAAAATATGTGCGATTTCATATCAGTAAAAAAACTAAAAAAATTCACTTTGTTCTTTACACAGATTCAGTTTGGGTCATTTAATTTTGGCGTGCTGTAGATATTGTGTGTTACCAAACTTAATATGCCATAGTTAGCCTTCACAATGGTCCAGATTATGGTTTTACAAGAGATGTGTTGTAATCATTAAATGTACTTGCTTTGTACTCATATGAGAACATTTACCTATGGAAAATGAACTAACTAACAACTAAACAGCACCATAAACATAATGTGACACAGCAGACAGACAAGGGGTACTTTTCTGGAGATGTTGAAATATGGTTAGGAGAAAAACATAATCTCAAGCTTTGAACATCTCAGAGCTCTGTTTAATCCATCCAGTGTTTGCACATGATAGAAAGGAGGAAAATCGGTTTTAAGCTTGAATCCTTGTTGTATGATTGTATATGATGGAGACACAATTAACCTGTGAAAGAACTTGCTCTTCCCTGGTCAGATAAGTTGGAATCTTCTAGGCTATGATATTAAAATCAAACTCTGAAACTATGTTTAAAGATACCTTCCATCTGGTCTTCTTGAACTATTTTTTAAAGTGGATTTTGCAAAAAATGATTTCTGTTGATAGGGGAAGCTGGAGAAGACCACAAAGACCTGAAGCTGCAATACAGTGCTGCTACAAAGTTTTATCTCAAGGGGCGGTATACAAATTTGCATTACATAAAAAAACAACAAAAAAAAACAGAAAGATTTAATTTTGTTTCTGTTCTCCAACTTTGTACTAATTTGTGTTGCTCTATTAAGCAGAGATACAAAAATAAATACAGTTAAGTATGTGGTTGTAATGCAATGAAATGTGGAAATGTTTAGTGAGGAACGAATACCTTGTATATCAAACAGAGGTCAAATAAAAAAATTTTAAAAAGCTGCCTCACAATTTGTGATAACTTTATTTCCCTTTTAAATGTTTGGTATCAAAAATGCTAGAAGCCTTCAAGATGTATAATTATTCTTTTCCCAAGATGATTACTTAAGATTTTTGAGTGCCAGTTTACCACACATATCTGCCAACCTGCCCACACAGGCAGCTCCCAAAAAGGAATCACAATTAAACACAGCCTGTTTTATTGCTGCTGTTAAGATTCTTTCAAGAAGATTATTACGTTTCTTTTTGTGAATGATATCTCATTTTCCTGTGTCACAGAGCCGACCCAGATATGGTGCTGAAAGTTACGTCAGTGGGTGTTACAAAGACAAGCTTACTTCTTTGTTGCATCATAAAACTTGACAACTTCATGCTTTGGTTTTTGTGGCCAGAGCGAACAGCTCTTTCTCATTAGTGTCTAGCAGTTTGACTTGAGGCATTCTTGGAAGGGGCTGCTTATAAGTTTAGGAAACAGGGCTGTCACATGTCGTATCGATCTTCTCCTGTCCTCTTTCTGCTAAAATCAATAAACTGCATTAAGTGTTCTCCCACAAAATGTCACTCTGAAGAAACACACCTGAGGCATGTCCATGGAATATGCTGAAGGAAAAAAAAAAAAAGGAAATCAGCATCCTTCATGCCAGACATTTAAAACAAAATGGAATCATTAAAGAGTATTCAAGAAGAACTGATTGCTTCCAGTCGTTCTAAAAGGTAGAAAGCTCAGCATCTTTTCAGCTGATTAAAAATGAAGGTTGAGTGCGTACATGTCAGCCTTTTCATGAAAAACAGGCACATCACAGTGCATTAAGTCAATCATCCAGGAGACAGCTGCTCTTGGGTGTTGCCATCATGCAGGCAGGGATACTGTGACACTGTGAGATTGATGCATGTCCACGCTTTTGTGTGAGCGGATTTACTGAGTGAGCTTAAAGGAGCAGCTGCAACACACAAGCTACGTAGATTTTAGACTCCCTCTTTTTTTCCATCCACTGTCACGCTCACACCCACACCTCTATAGTACAGCCAGCAGCAGAGACCTGTAGGTCTGGTTAGCATCTCAGAATGACATTTAAGATGCACAAAACATGAGTCCTTTGCTTTATGAACTTGATATTGTTATTATTAACAAAAAATAATATGAAAAAAAAAACAACAGGAAACTGAAAGGTTATCCGCTGAGTCAAGACATATTGCAAAAACATACCAGTCATTTTAGATTAAAGTGGAAATCCTTCTTAAATAAAAGTGAATGAAATAAGACATTTAAGGTGCAAACATTATATTAATGTCCCCAGGAAGTATAAGTATTTTTTTCTTTGAAAGGATCTAATTTCTATTAATGAGCAAACAAGCAGACTTGCTCCCCTAAGAAAAAATACTAGTATTTACTTAGGAAAATGACATAGATTACCTATTTTCTTAAATAAAATGGAAGTCTTTGTTTATGCCCCAATTTTTTGACTTATAGTAAAACTGGTCTTGTCTTCCAGGGGCTCAAACAATGGAGTTTGTCAGATGAGATTATCCCCATAAATGCCAGAAAATGTCAACTTGCTGCCAGCATGAATAAATAAATCAATCAGTTCAGCTGACTTGAATCTGTTGGTAAAGCTTAAGGCAGGAGGATGTCCTCCTTACCTGATTAATGGTGTCTGCACTTTTAAATGTATTTGTCAATCTGTGTTTTAAAAGTGTGGGCCCATTCAAAAGGTATGGTGACTTGACAAGAAATTGATGAACATTATTACCACAAACCTTTGAGTATTTTCTAGGGATTTTATATGATGGAGCACCAAAACGAATTGCATAATTGAGGTATGGGAAGACAGTTATTACTACAAATTAAAAAAATGAAAATTCTGGTGTGTAAATGTAATCATCTCAGTTAAATAACACTTGGCAACCTTATTGTACAAAACGTTTTCATGTTTTGAGCTGTTTTTTTTATAAAGCTAAGACAACGCTTATTTCACAAAGGCTTAAGGTGTATGTGTTTCCTGATATGCTCATTGCCAAAGTATGACCAAAAAAATCCTTTCAAACTGAGCATCATTATGTCTGCTAGATCAGGCATCCCCAACCTCGGTCCTCGAGGCCCACTGTCCTGCAGGTTTTAGAGGTTTCCTTACTCCAGCACAGCTGATTTTAATTGAAAGCTGATTAACAGGCTTTTGGTCTACTGCAATCATTATAATCAGCTGTGCTAAAGCAGAGAAACCTCTGCCTCGGCCTCGAGGACTGAGGTTGGGGATGCCTGTGCTGGATAATAGCATTATTGTTTCACCAGACCTAGCTGAAGAAACTAGGCGGCACTTACCCTCTGGAATAATCACAGATGGTTAAGTAAAATCAAATTAATAAAATTAGGCGAAACTATTATTTTACCAAATAATCTTTTATTTTCCCTAGATTTGCTTTTTTAATTGGGTTAAATAAATTCAACTGTCTGCAGCTTATTTAAAAGCAAATTTGAATCCCAAAAGGTATTATACCCAAAAAGAATATTTGATTCTCAAACAAAAATCTATTCATAAAAGGCATAACTCAAGCCTATTTTCTTGAGTGATACTGCATAAACAGAATTGCTATTGGCAACATTTGATCGTTTTCAGACTGGATATTGAATACTCTTCTCCCTCATCTCAGCTGCTACTTTTTATTTAGTCACTCTTGCATAAACTGCTTCCCCTCCTGGAACTGAGTTCTCACCTTCTCTGTTGGAGAAAACCAATTCTTCTCTGCTTTTGTTTTTCCCATCTCCAAAGTAACACAAAGATGCAGTCTGAGGTTGGGGTATAAATATATATATATATATATATATATATATATATATATATATATATATATATATATATATATATATATATATATATATATATATATATATATATTTTTTTTTTTTTTTTTTTTTTTTTTTTCCTTTTTTACAGGACACTGTAAAAATGTTGTGCACATACCATGCATATTATCTAGTCAACTAACTTCTGGACTGTCATGTGTTGTTCGTTGAACACACAAAGAACTGGCTGTGGGCTAGGGGAATTTATGAAACTGTGATTTATACTCAAATCATGGTCAACCAGTTAACTGTGCAGATATGTAAATAATTCTAAACTTCCATTTAAAATACAGGAATTATTTATCGAAAATAATGAAACATCAGGTCAGACTGGGGAAGGTATCTCCTGTAAAAGTCAACGACACAAAGGTGCAGATAGCCTGTTCTTTGAAGCAGTTAAACTCAACGTTTTGACCAGAGTTTAGGTGATCTCCCCATTGTGGCTGCCTCCAGGTGCATGGAATAAGAGTAGGGGTGTGGGAAATAATTGTTTTGGCGATATATCGTGATATTCGGCTGCCCAATATAATATCGATCTTTCACTTCTTAGTATCGATTTAAAAAAAAATGGTTACATAAAACATTGATGGGAAAATGGGCTACCTCTGCACCACCACTCTGGCAGAAAGCGCCGTGGAGTCCTTTAACTGTGCGTTCAGCACCAAATCTGTATTTGAGGCAGTCACAGTGGAAGAAAACCCCAAACAACATAGATAATAATACCTAATCAATATTTTCTGATGAAAATATACAGTACTTGCTGTTTTATCTCATCATTTGATTTTGATAGCTGGGGAAAATATGGCAATATATAGTGATACTGCAATATCGTGATAATATTGTATCGTGACCCAAGTATCGCGACATGTATCAAATCGCAACACTCATGCCAATACTCACCTCTAAATAAGAGGGTGAGTTGTGGTCAGAGGTTGGAGTTTTGTAGTCAACAAATCATCTCCATGTATTTGATCTACCCAGCCACTGACGCAGGTGAGTCCAATCTACACAATTTAATTCACTGCACATATTGGACACACCTGGGTCAGTGGCTGGTTGGAACAAACACATTGCATGGAGATGACTTGTTTGCTGAATTCAAATTCTGCGGCTGCGTCCTCCAAAGGCCAGATTTGTCAGCCGATTATGTCATAGCACGACGCAGAGGCCTGTTTGGATTGGAAGACTCCTCGTCATGCAGCTGACAAATCCAGCCTTTTTTTCAACCCGTTTTGAAGGATGGGTCTGGTATATCCTATAAAGCCTTGGGTATCCAATGATTTAATGCGAGTCTAAGCAAGCCAGCTGGTCCGTGCTCATAGGAAGATGGTAAATGGCACCGAAAAGTGATGAATATTGTAAGTGTTATAAGTATAATACAAATATGTGTATAGTTAAGTCTAAAATTAATGAAAATAGTTGTTTTAAATGGTTATTGAGTCAGATATGTGACAGGTAATGTTTGT